TAAGCAATATGCATACACCTAGGGTAAATCAATTTTGACAATACACTTAATACCTAGCTATCTCGTAAAGCATTGGATTGAAAGGAACATGTCTTGTTAAAGTTACTGTGGCAGAAAAGAAAGGAAAACCAAAATTAAAGAGACAGCTACTACATCAGTAGCATGTCTTTTCCACAAAGTTGTCACTAACAAAAAAATGTAACCCAAATTTAATTAACAACATTAATCATCTTCAACAGACAGAAAATGCCTTGTTTATAAAGTTATTAAAAATAGCAAATAACGTGAGTGCTGTTGCTTCGAGTTTTATTGGTTTGCAACAATTCAAAATCGAAATATCAAATAATTGAACATGGGGAATTAAGCTCATCAAGCTGAATTGAAAGCTATTTCACCAATTCGACGGGAAATCGTGTTGTTTGATATGATCACCAGAGGTATGGACTATAACTGTTTGGCGAAATGATCTCCATACATAGTTTCTACAATCTCAATTAAAGCTGGCGAAACAAGCTCGACTGTTTCAGGGATTTCTGTTGTTATACGAAGTGAATATTTCGTTGCAAATATTGAAAAATGCCGGTCTAGTATTTTGTATTCGCAATGCCGAGTTATTAACGCATACCTATATTTTATATAAACTGTAAAAATTGCGTTTCATTACGAATATAAAGACACGATTCAAAACATCAACCGGAACGTTCGATAATACACGCTTCGTAGAAGATGGACTTTTATGGTACACAAAGTGCCTCTGTATTAGAAGAAAATATGACGTAGTAAATACCATTCATAAATCCCGTATGGTGCTATGGAACTCTATCTCACTCTATAGTTATAAACTTAAATGAAATAGAAATAAAATCATTAATTGATATAAATTAGTAAAAATAAAACAACTGAATCTGTGTGTTTGGTACAGAAACCAAAGTAATTGTAGGTCATATGAAAAAGAATTGTAGCTGCAAAAGACATGATAGCTACTAACTGAAGACTTCCGATTATAGCCATAGATTCCATCTTGTAACTGTAAGCTTCAGATCATAACTGCTCATTGCATACTGCAAATTTTAGCTGGACTATACTACAATCAGTAGTCTACCTAGGTTGGGTCCAATCCAACCCAACCCAACCCTGCTGTGGTCTACAAAAAATCCACTTAAAACAGGTAATTAATATATGGAAGTCCTCAAAGGTAGCCTTGCGCTGGAAAGACCTTCTAGGACACAGACTGGCCAAGAGTATGATGCAAAAGAAAACCAAGGAGGTTTTATGCCTCAGCAAAGGAGATTAAAATATAACCTTTTCAATATTGGACAAGCTAAGGATCGAAATTGTCGACTTTGCAAAAGTGAGTCAGAAACTGCTAAACATATTCTCAGAGACAGAGACGAAAGGGCAAACTACCACGATATGTACGATCTTTAAGAAGGACCCCTTGCAAATTGAAATACAAGTATTTACAGTTAATATATAAACTGTATATAATAAGTTCCCACAGCATAAAAATTATGAAAAGTTTAATTGCGTTTTACTTGAAACAACATTTTGTACACATATTAATCATATTTATTTCGTATCATTACATTCAGTTTTTAATTAATTAGACAAAAGCCAAACCTATTTTATAATCTAAATCTAAATAGTACTTAATTTAATTAAAAACAACATATTATGCTGGTAAAATGCAAATTTAAGTTGGAATTAATTAATCAATTGGGCATTTTAGTTCGTTGCACGTGCAGAAGAGACTTACAATGTCGGTACGTTAGACATGTAGAGACGGAGTCATTAGTTCGCATACAAGCAAACACTTTGTATGCGCAACGGGGCCCTAACAAGTAGATGTCATTGCACCCGCCTAAGCTCGCGATCTCTCGTCGTTATCACAACACCCAACAATACACGTTGAGTTATACCTATATATATTGGAGCTTTTGAAACTGAAGTATGATGAATCGAGAGCGAACGTGACGATGTCTTTACTTTATTTCCGTGTTTGAACCTACAAACTGGTCACAAAGTATGCCAATGCCGGGAGGTTAACGCTTGACAGTTATGCGGAAAATGAGCGAAACTCAAAACCGCTTCGCGAAATGGGAACGGCGGATTTCATAGTTGGAATTATTCCAAACATTTATAAACTGAGATTTTCCAAAAGACTAAAAATAATAATTAGAAAGTCAATGTTTTTATATACAGGGTAAGTGGCAAAGTACATAAACGGGATTAAGGAGTCTAGATGTACAGTTAGGATTTATTAAGAAATAGAAAATCCTAATTCTTTCCTTGAAAAATGCTTTTCTATTTCTTTTACAGGAATATAACCTCTCACATATCGCTTGCCTCTGTTCGTCGGTCGCAGGATTAAAGCTCCGGTTCTCTATCTATGCGGCTAATCTCACAAAAAAGTTACTTTTCGAGCGGCAGGGATTTATCGTTTTTCCCCGCCCTTCGTAAGAGAGATTCCCTCCGTTCATGAACAAAAAACGTTAAATCCACCAAAATGACGAAGGGCCAACCGCGAACTTCGCATTCAAATTTAATTGGCGGTAGCGCCACTTTCCAAATAATCCATCGAACGCCGAACTACGTTTTTAATTAAATGGTTTGTTTATTCAAATTTATTTAACTACGGGATAAACAATGCAAATAGAACAAAAACATTTTTAAATAATCATTGAATATTTGTTATATAAATAAAGTTATACTGTAAGTATTAAAATATTTAAATATTATATTATTTTTTTTTAGTATAAAACTAAAAAAATTTATGGCACAATAACAATACATGTAAAATCAATCAAGTATTAAAGAATGTAAAAAATCCTCACATTTACCAACTCATATTGATAAATCTTAAGCTTTATTAGTTAAACCTAAGATTTACCGTAGTTCGGGCTTTTATAGTAACATATATACTGATGGAAAAGTGTTAAACGATGTGAGGTTGAACAGTATGGTGGATATATTTGGCAAAATATACCAAAAAGTATCTAATATTGATTCCAAACGATGTGCAGAAGATTACTTAAATATCTTAAAGCCAATATCCCAGGGACTTAACAAACTGCTAAATTGCTCTAAGGTTCAAAAAAAGTACTGAAAGAGTTTTGTCACTTGTTCTATTAAGTATTATCAATAGAGAAATAAAACTTGGTCATAAAACAAAATTCCCTGTTAATTTTGCCAACTTCACAAGGTATTATAGAAAAAAAATGAACTATACATGAGATGATTAAGCTTATGACTTATTACCTTAATCTTAGGTTAAACTGATTTTGAAATGTTTTTTTTTGTTGTATATGTATGTATGTAACTTCTTCTTGCGTTGTTGCTATATTTTGGTGTTTATATACCTTGGATGGACACATAAGATTTTGTAATTGTTATCTCCTTTATGAAGCATGGAGGACTCCATACATTTCTGCAGTGTCATAAAAACATTGTCTAATTTATATGCAGGTGTATCATCCCATGCCTTCAAAACAGCAGAAATTAATTCATCTATATTATGCATAGAGCTTTTATGTTGTATAGATTGAATTGCATTAAAAAAGCCTAAATCAAGAACATTAAAGTCAGGGCTGTTTGGTGGCTAACAAATTAAACTAATATTCCATCCATCAGCTGTTCCGGCTCGAATTAGTTCACCATCATTCTATACTACAATGTGGTCGGACATTATCTTGTTGAATTTTGATGCGCATCTTTTTGCTGCCCTTCGGCCACTTTTCTTTTATAGCTGGAATAACTTTTTTGGTAATCATGTCCACATAAATTTGACGAGTAACTTCAACAGGTGTTGTCACTAATGTCCCACGTACACGATTTTTAGAATTTCGTTTTGTTGGTTCATAAGGCCATAAGTCTATTTTACCATTAAAATCAGACTTTTTGTTATAATCATATCTTGGACGAGCCACTGCAGCTAGAAACATGACTTTTGTTAAGAATCTATTACTCTTACATGTTCGATCAGGTGTTTCTTCTTCGGGAAAACAGTAGTAGTTTGTCTTAGTTTTGGTTATGTAAAACCATTTTTCATCAATTTGAACAAACTCTAACATTTCTTGAAAATATAGGCTACGTTCTTATAACATACAAAGTGCAAATTCTAATCGATGCTTCTTATTGTTATTGGTCAAAACAGGTTTCAATGTACTTGAAACTCTCTTTATGACTCCTTCCTTCAAAATTTTGTGCACTGTTTCCAATGACTCTTTAATACTGTTACGAAGACTGCGGATGGTTGATTTTTGTGCTATGGAAACTTCCGAGATTTTCCTTTTTATACCTTCTCTGTCTTTATGTTTCCTTCCAGAATTTCCTGTTTTCTTTGAGTCGACGATTTGGTGTTGCACTGCTTAATTGCACCGTTTTTCAACTTTTCATTGCTTACATTTTTCGGCAGATATTGTAAGACACCGTTGCTTAAATTAGGTTTTTTCAACGCTCCTTTATAATTTCGTATATTTTCTGACATGATTTTTTTCAATTTTTATACTTGGCGGAGAATATATAAAATTAATTTTTTTTACCAAGATTTAGTAACTGACACTGGTTTAAATTTTTACTGTCATAAACATGCCTGACCTACTATGATCAATGAATATGTGTTCTATGTAAATAAATTCATAATAACAACTTTTTTTTGTTTATTCAATAATCCTATAAAAAATCTCAAATCGGACACTTATTTTGGAACGGAGGTAGTACATTTTATACAGAATACATTTATTTTCTTTTGATTTTAATTATTAATATAAAAAAATTAACCCTTATAAACAATAAATCATTTTAAGTGATTAACCCAAAAACATTAACACCTAATAAACCTTTTTACACTCTTTTCTTCATAAAAGAAACTTTTTAAACCGATTTAACCTCCAAAACTTAACAGGTTGTCATCGAAACAAAGAGATAAAAAGAGATAGATAGCCGTAGCCACCTTTATAAACCTGTGTGACTAACTTCCGACCGCATCGGGTCTCACTCACCTGTTATCGTAGCGAAGGTGGCTATGATCACCATCAGCAAACAAAACGGCGGCATGCTACCCATTGGAACGCAAAAGTCTGTCGAAATATATTGAAAGGAAACGCAACAAACACTCTATCCTGCGGGAACAACTTTTCAAAAAGTTTCAGGAACAGTTTAATAATGCTCGCGGATTTGACGATGCGTAAGATAGGCGCGGTTACCCAAATCTCCAGCTACACAACCGCTCGCGTTATTCAAGGCGACGAACGCGACGCCACTGAGAACGTTCACGGTGCGATGTGAAAACGTGACCCGTTCGGGATGTTCCGGAAAATATCGGCCGGTTACTATGGTTGCTACGTTTGAATTCGTGATTCTGGTTGGTTGTCGATAATGGAGTGGGGGGACATAAGTCGTTGATTTTTGAAATAGTTTTATTATAAAAACATTAAGGTTATGTTACGCGTTTAAGGTGTGTAAATTAATAATAGGTTAGGTACCTTAATTATTGTTTAATTGGGTAATTTCAAGGTAAAAGTTTATTGGGTACGTAAATCACTTTCCATTTTTACTTCTTATTGTAAATTCGTCATTTAAAACGAAAATTACAAAGATTTCTAATTAACCTCAAAATAGTATACATTAAGCTTTCAATAATCAGGATTTTTTAATTTTTAGGAGTACTACCCATCCTATCTTTTTATTAAACAACCTCAAGTGAATATGATCCTAATAAACTATAACCATACAGAAGACTTCAAATTGTAACTACAGGTAACATTTAGCATGGTATTGCGAAAGACATTTAAAAAACTCTACCACAGGTAGCAATATAAACTATGTACATTAAGCTTTTAATAATCAGGATTTTTTAATTTTTAGGAATACTACCCAACCTATCTTTTTATTAAACAACCTCAAGTGAATATGATCCTAACTAAAATAATGAGTGTAAAGTGTATGTTACACTACAAACTATAACCATACAGGAGACTTCAAATTGTAACTACAGGTAACATTCAGCATGGTATTGCGAAAGACATTTAAAAAACTCTACCACAGGCAGCAATATAAACTATAATTACACACTGCAAACCATAGCTATTAATTACAGGTTATAAGTCAGCTGTAGCTTGCGTACCCCAAACTATACAAAATATGAAAATTACAGACTTCATTTCGCAAACTATAGCTGCAAACTGTATGTGATAGTTAAATAATTGCATAGGGTAAAACGCCAGTAATTGACCGTTGGTCAGTGTTTGACCGTTTTTGTAAAAAAAATGTAAAAAATAAGGATCCAAAGAATATCTATAAAAAAAATAAATCTGTCCATAAATAGCCACCAGTCTCTTCTCCACCTCCTACTACGCAAAAAGTCTACGACCATACCGTTCTTGAGTTCTTGTTGTTTAATTTGCGCTAACTGCGCTATTCACATCGTGCTAAAAAGACTCTTATAGTGGTCAATTATTATCAAAAAATGGAAAATCTATATGAAAAATTTATTTTATATTATTTTAAATTTATATTAAAAAAAAACCTGGTGATAGTTTCACGAAAACGAAACGTTGGAGAAAATTTCTAGTTGTGTCATGACATTTTTCATAAAAAGTTGCCTTAAGAATGTTTTTTCAGATTCACGAAAAAACGAAAAATAAAGAAGTTATAGGCAAAAAACGAAAAAGTTATTTTTTTTGTTTTTCGGTCATATTTTAAAAACTAAAACGGCTAGATCCAAAAATTTTGTTGAAAAATGATGAGCTCTAAGATACGCAACTTTGCTCCCATTTAACCATATCTGTATATCTTATGGTTTCTGAGATCCCAATGGTGGGGGTCGAATTTGAATTACCCTGTATTGCATTGTTGTATCGAAAAAATGGTATTTGCCTAAAACTAGCTTAAACAGATACTATTTGTCTTGTCGAATAGTATTTGCCTAGACATTTAATGATAGAACTGTATCTAACTAGGAAAAGGCTATCTACCTGAAATAATCATTTGCCTGCGACATATGTATACAGATTAGAGAGTCCCAAATTCGCAAAGTTCTTCCTGGGATGTGATGTATCACTTACCATGGGCTGATACATTTGGTTTCTTCATTGCCAAATTGTGATAAGACGGATACTTTATCAGCCAAATACTATAAATGTTGGCCAAACTTTTGTAAAGTTGTTTTCGAGATGCTTTTATCAATATTTTCGTAAGCCTTCATTGGGTTGGGTTGAATTGGGTTTGGTTAGGTTAGGTTGGGTTGGGTTGGACATTTCCCACAGAATTCTGTTTATGTTAGCAAACACAAATGACACTACTATCATAACTCTCCAGAGGCAATGAAGTTACTCTATGGTGGGTTCCAGGTCACAAAGATATTGAGGGCAATGAAAAGACGGACAAACCGACCAAAGAGGTAACGAGGACCTTTATTAGACTCCAACCTGGCTATGGACTACAAAAAAACCACATAAAACAGGTAATTAGCACATGGGAGCTGATAACTGTCATAACAGACTGAAGAAGCCACTGAAGACTGCAAATTATGGTTACACACAGCACAATAGCCGCATCCTGAATACTGCAGATTGCAGCATAGTTCAAAGTACAGCTACAGAGAGCATGTTATAAACCAGTGTTTTTCAACCTTTGTCATTGCGCGGAACTATTTTTCGAGATAAGTTTTTTATGGAACCTTTCGTACAGTATTATAATTACATATTACATGTTGTGAACAAGATGCGTCTCTGCCGTCGTTGTAAAAACTCTATACAAGAGTTTATTCATACAAAAAGACAAATATTCCTTATAAAATATAAATATGTCATAAGCATAGTAATAGATAAATACTTATAAATAGATAAAGACTTTGTTGTGCTTGTTTATTGCTGCACAATTTATCAATATCTGGATGAATCGATGTTAATTGGAGACGCATATCATTTTCAGCATCAAGTCGATTTCTGTACTTCGTTTTTGTAGCGACGTTTGTGGAAAAGGATTTCTCACAGAGATAGGTTGTTACGATTCTTCTACGGCGCGTTTGGAAATTTGCGGATATTCATCCAATAATTTTATCCAAAATGGACCAGTGCTGTCATGTGCAAATGTAGATTTTAGTGTGGTGTAATTATAGTTACTAAGCTAGTTTATAGACTAAACTAGTTCACCTATGAGTCTTTGTTTACAGTAAAGACATAGTTATCTCTATGAATGAAAATCCTACAGTATTTCAAAAGTTGCTATTCTCCTCGATATTATTTATAATTAATTGTAATCAATTAACACGTACAATATGATAAATGTTACGTCATTCCTATACGCGGATGGTACGTCGTTGGTGGTAAAAGGGACAACATGGATGAGATAGCGGGAATAACGAGTGATGTCATTGAGGTTGTAACCGAGTTGATTGCGTGTTGGATTAAACTAGAAAAATTATGTGGTCGCGTTGTACAAATGTTTGACGAGTGATGATGTGTATCGATTGATGAGTTTCATCGAGTAGACGATTTTAGGATAGTTTACTTTTGAAATGTTCTGAAATTTTTATCTTCACTCAACTCGCATCACTTCCGTTTTATATTTTATTTTTCGAAATAGTTTAGAATATAACAAATTTACTACATCAATCAAAAATTATTTACACTTCACCTAATGACACCCTTTTTAACATTCGGCATTTCATTTTAAGGGGTCGTCCGTTAATAATGGATTAATTCATCTCCAGGGTCTACGCCATTAGTAGATTATGGTGATAATCTACCCGTGGAGACGCAATATTTTTGGAGGAGAATGAAGGGGCGAAGCTTTTGTACCAGGCTTAAAACGTGGAAATACCGTTTACGCAACATGTGTTGCTCACTTCGTGCCATTGCGCCCCCTTCTTTACACTTGGTGCGCCCTTCCCCACTAGACACATCGAATTTTCGCAAAAGCGGAGGCAAAACAAGCGCAAGGAAGGGCGGCAGATGCGTCCTCTCGCTAAATTTATGACACCCGCGTACGTGGATCTAATACATGAAAGTTTTAAATGACTACGTTCAGGAGGCCAAGGAGACGTAGCGTTGTGCACCAGCTACGCTCGTGGACGGGACGTATTTTACACACTGCAAGGACCAATGCGCCATGAGTTAGAGACTTGTTTTTCGTTTGATCGGAAATCGCTCGGAAATAGATATTGGTTGTTGCTCGGTAAACAGGACTATATATACCGGAGGAACTGGGTTACTTTCGGTCGACGGTGGAAGTGTATTGATAAATTTCAATTGCGTATATCGGATGTACTAGAGATCTTCTTGATTTGTAACCATAGCTTGATGTAAATCACTATAGGTTTTTATATTCATTGAAAGATCTCAAGTAACTTTAAAAAACGTAACTTAATATTAACATTATTAAGAAAATGTTTTGCTTGTAAACAGAGGATTAACAACCAAGAAAGCGTTAAAGTTTCCTCCTCGTTAAAGTAAACTTATTCTTGGAACCTGGAAATATTTACTTCCACTTTGAAGCATTTCTATTAAAAATATCCTTTTTAAAACCATCCAATTAGTGTTAAAACCTTAATCATCTTTTAGTATCTCATTTTTTTTAAATTTCTATTGTCAAAACTATGCAAAATACATATTGGGTATTAAATTTATGGGAATAATGAAAATTTATAATTTCCTCCGGTTGACCATAGATGCAAATTAGAACCAATTGATTACGAGAATGTCGAAGACCGGGGTCATAAATCGGCTGTCATTTACGCAACGTGCGTGTTTCGCGGATTTATCGGTTTTATAATCGCACTTCTTCTCCATTAGCACAAATCACAATTTATAACTAGGAGAGAACCCAAAACTACACCCCCGGGATTCTACGTTTAATGACACCCTTAATGGTTTAATTATTTTACTACACAGTAACTATTTCATTATTAAAGTTATTTAAACTTTGTAATTAAAAATCGATTTTGATAAATATAGGGTGAACAAATATTTTACAAGCTAATATTTTATTAATTAATATTTGAATGGTCATAAAATTATTTCTTTTTCAATATTACTTACTGAAGAATATTCTCATATGATTAAATAATTATAATTGTTGCAGTCAAATTTTTCAATTTTAATGTAATTATAAAGTATAGAAGATTTATCCAAGGAAATTATGTTTCAAACTAATCGATGGAATGACCAAAAACATTTCTTCAAGTAATTATGCCTGGATAGTTAGAAATGACTCCATACAGTGTATTTAGAAAAGATGTATATAAGTATTATTTAGTTCGAGTTGGGCAGTTCCGGGAATAGGAGATTCGATTCTGGGACAACTTGGGACATCATTTCCAATTCTGGAATAAGTCCAGATCGAATGATCTAATACTGTTACATTGTGTTGCTCATTTTTAATGATGATTCATTCAAGGCTTCAGTCATTAGCTTGGAGAATTTACAATTATGGAAATTCCTCCTGGAGAACATGTAATCTTGGGAATTAAGACTGTTAAGATAGATGCGCACATTATTAAGACCGCCTAGTAAGGTCTGCTTATTGCCTATTTATTAAGGTAAGAGTTATTTAAACAATAATTTTAATTTGGTTTTAATTTTTAGTACTTTGGAGCTACATCAAATAAAGACTCTAACTCTAGAGAACCCCGCTGTGTAAAATGCTCTGAAGAACATCTACACTCTCAATCCTCAAGATTAAAAAGAGGCAGTGAGGTTGCATGTGGAAATTACAAATAGAATCACCTCTCTTGCTATAAAGGATTGGTTGCTTATAAAGAGTTATTAAAGAAAACATAACGGAATTATGATATATGTGTATATCTCAGTCTGCAGATAAGAGAGATGATATCAAAATTAATCTGCCATATTTATCACGAAACGATGGACAAAACAAAATGTTAAATCTATCACTTATTCTGTCTCTCCAAGTTTGGTACATTAATGGCCTGATGAATTATTCAAAGCAATTCAAATTATTCATAACTTAACGCTAAATTGATCTCAAGTATACGCATAATGTCTAAAAATAAAATTAACACGATGAGCGCAAATTCATCAAATTTTCATATTTTCGTATCTATCTCGATATTGACGTATCTAAGAGCAAAAGTGCAGCAGAGCAATATTGTTAACAATAAAATTTGCTACAACTTTTGTGCTAAAATTTTTTTTGTAACATACTGCGATTCCTTAATGTTACCTTTAATAACTTGAAAAAGCAACAAATTCATCAAATTTTCATATTTTCGTATCTACCTCGATATTGACGTATCTAAGAGCAAAAGTGCAAGAGAGCAATATTGTTAACAATAAAATTTGCTACAACTTTTGTGCTAAAATTTTTTTTGTAACATACTCCGATTCCTAAATGTTACCTTTAATCACTTGAAAAAGCAACAAATTCATCAAATTTTCATATTTTCGTATGTACCTCGATATTGACGTATCTAAGAGCAAAAGTGCAAGAGAGCAATATTGTTAACAATAAAATTTGCTACAACTTTTATACTAAAAGTTTTTTTGTAGTATGTTCCGAATCTCGTGCGCTACCATTAATAGCATGTAAAACCATGAAATTCATAAATTCTCATATTTTTCTCGATAATAATGAGTCTGACAGCAAAATACAAAGAGAGCAATATTGTTAACAATAAGATTTGCCACAACTTTTATAATAAAAATTCTTTCGTAATATGTTCAGAATCCCGTGCGCTACCATCAACAGCAGGTGAAACCACGGAATCACCAAATTCCCACATTTTCTCAACATTGATAAACCTCACGACAAAAGTTAAAGGGAGCAATATTGCTAGGAATAAAATTTGCTACAACTTTTCTTCTAAAAGCTTTATTGTGAAAAGCTCCGATTTTACCATTAATAACTTGAAAAAGCAAGAAATTCATGAAATTTTCATATTTTTGTGTTTTCCTCAATATTGACGCATCTCAGACCAAAACTGCAAGGGAGCAATGTTGTTAGGAATAAAATTTGCTACAACTTAGGTTCTAAAAGTTTTTTTGTAATATGCTCCGCATCCCGAGTGTTTCCATCAATAACTTCAAAAAGCAACAAATTCTTCAAATTTTCATTGTTTTTGTACTTTTCTCAACATTGACACCTCTAAGAGCAAAAGAGGAAGGGAGCAATATTGTTAAGAATCAAATTTGCTACAATTTTTCTTCTAAAAGTTTTATTGTGAAAAGCTCCGATTTCCGATTTTACCATTAATAAATTGAAATGCAACAAATTCTTCAAATTTTCATATTTTTGTATTTTTCTCAATAGTGACGCCTCTAAGAGCAAAACAGCAAGAGAGCAATATTGTTAAGAATCAAATTTGCTACAACTTTTCTTCTAAAAGTTTTATTGTGAAAAGCTCCGATTTACGAATTAATTTACGCGGTGGACACACGACGCTCAACGTGTTGAGCTTCATAAAATGAAGGAACGAATTAACTCCAACAAGTAAAAATGTGCCGATCATAAAATAGAAGACAGTCCCATGTATTTTCCCAAACGTTAATAAATTAATGGAGCTGACGGGGAATATCGGGCGGTTACGGTTCGTGTCTGATAAAGTATGTGCAACTATGACATGTTTAGTATAAAAACACTCATATCATCGCCTAAAAGAAATTCAGCGTAGAAACTATCTTTTTCAATAACTCAAGATACTTATAAGTATTATGTTTAGCCTACAACCCCTTTTCAAGAAGAAAAAAAAATACTAAAGAGGTATTTGACGTTGTAACACCTCTTCAAGTTCACACAGACATATAAATTGTAGATCAAACCACGGTTGGGTGTCAAAAGGGTCCTCTTTCAATCACGGTTAGACTCCTCTCTAGAGGTACTCAAACTAAAAGAGACTCGACACGAAATCTATAAGGGGTCGCACTACGAAGTGTTGAAATGTTTTTGTTCTTGAAATGCAATAATTTGAATGTTTCAAAAAAAAATTGGGATATAAAGGAAGCAACGTACGTTTCGTTTTTCGTATCTTCCCCTGTAACCCAATATAACTTTTTCACTCCGTTTGCTCCAATCTTAATTCCAATCTGCCCCGCGGAGGGCCTTATTCTTGCACCCCAACGTTTTCCGTTTTCACATCTATTCGATCCAGATTTGATAATGTAGCGGAGCATCGATATAAGTAATTCGTTCCGGGCCATCGCACCCCGGAATTACTTGTCTTGCACCCTCTGTCTATGAGCGTCGAGTCACTATAAAGGGAAGGGTGTTATATCTCTCGAATGACATTTGTATTACCATTTTATTTGTATTATTACTTTATATTTCGATCATATGCGGAATGTAACGAAACGTGTTTTGGGTAGGAATCATCGGAAACGGTGTGACAATAACTTTTCATGTTTTGGGGGTTTCCTGAATGCTTTTGTGATTTCACCGGAAATGGTAATTTTTTTTATTTCTGAATTTGTAGAACTAATTTAAACTTTTAATGAAATTATTATGAACGTATTCCTGAATCGCAAAATTAATATTAGTTTTAGCTTTGGGTGGGTAATGCATAGGATAACGGAAACGTTGTTTTGTTTTATGGTACAAATTAAAAACGAAATACATCTCTTTTTCTTTTTTTGTTTGTAGGTGTACAAAAAATGATTTTTGATTTGAGACTAAAGCCACGCCAGTCAATGCACTGTAGGATTTGAAGTTTAAGTACCCACTGACCCGTCACCCTTCGGCATGTAGATGGGGAAGCATTCACGGTCCGATAAAATCGTGATATTGACAAGTTCGGCACAATGGTTTGATAAATCCGCTGGAGCTACGCTGAGCACGTTTCGCCGGGGTTCACATCGATCTCAAATCTCGTGCTACGCGAAAATCCAACGCGCACGTACAACCAGAAAACGAATTCCACAAAAAAAAAAACTTTAAATCATATTAGCGAAATGTAAACATATTTAAACAAAGTATTTTTTACATTTTATTTAATGATTTGGCGCAAACACCCGCATTTTAATCCGTGTTCATTTGTTTTAGTACTTAATTAAATCTGTCCCGAACAAATTTCAATTACTGAAAATGGGCAAAATGTAACCTTTCTGTTCAAACCAAATTAAATAACTTAACGAGCTACCTGCTTCCTGCACAGGTTATATTTCATAAACTAATTAACTTAATTAGTTTTTGCAATCAACCAAAAATTAAGATATTAATTTTTCCAAATATTAGATTTTATTTCCTTACGAACTAGTATTATTTCCAATTGGACCGCGTTATGTATCACTTGACTAAGCGACAAATGAATAATGTTGAGAAAAACGGGATTTTCGTTTTCATCTCTCTAAAAGTGTAAGACTTCTCAAAATAGACATGCTCAAACTATTGAAAATTGTTTGGTGCCTCTCCACTTTTATCACAGAACACTTATGATAGCTATCACAAGCACAGAGGGCATACAGGGTGTTTCTGTAAGTCGTGGCATAAATTTAATCACTAAAACTAGAGACAAAATAATGACGATTCGTGTAAATATTTTTGAAGAAAATAATCTAGAGTTTGATTTTGTATACAGAATTTAAGTCTAACCAGTTTCGGCCCTTGGCCATCTTCAGGGACTCTACAAATAGATTAACATCTCTCATCTCATCCATTTTACAAACAAGTTTCTTAATATTTTTTTTAATCAATGTGAAATGACCCAAAAAACACGTTAAAAATAAAAAGAAAATGCTATTATAAAAAACTTGCTATTAGAAAAAACTTCTATTATATGATAACTAACTTCATGTTTAAAATGTCAACCTCAATTTTGACATATTTGTAATCTTCATTAAAAATCCTTTAAAATGAGTACAAACACGACATATTTATCTTTAATATTAATGATGTTATAGTCAACTTCCGGTTAAAAATGTCTACGTCAATTTTGACATATTTGTAATCGTCGTGAAAAATCCTTTAAAA